TTTCCTGGTTACACTACAATTGGAAGATGCTGGTCCCATTCAAACCTCAAATTATTTTCAATATAGTCAATTTTAAACGCTTTATGTCATAAATGAAGTATACTTCCATTAAAATTTTTTTTTTATTGATGATAGTTTTCCGAGAAAAGTGTGTTACTTACAGATCTTGTGGACAGTATGATGCACGTACAAAATGTGCCGAAAAGCTATCGTGTCCGGAGTTGTTTTAATAGACTTTTAAATGTAATGAACTAATAGGCTTAGTTTTTTCCTAAACATTACTGAGTGAGAGTTTTTGAATCATTATTAGCCAAAAATGTCCACTTCCCTTAAGCTGTAGATACAAGATGTTATATTGAGCTGTAAAAAAACCCGATTTTACCATCAGAAATTCCAGGGCGTAGCTGTTTTTTTGCATTTACCGACGAGATTAAAGCATATGAAATGACTGCTGAAATGCAGTGTTTGGTAATTTTCTTCTGCTATCAACAATATGCTTCAAGTAGTCATTCCGATCGCCATTTATTCGTATTTCTTCACCGAATTAGGGCAATTGGAACACCATTACGTTTGAAGCAATCGTATGGCGGTAGTCTGATGGTGGAGATCAAAATGTCCCGTGACTATCGATTAATGCCTGACGAAGCGGACGCTGAAGTGCAGAGCAGTCTTCGAGGCTTTCTGCGATCCTTGAAAATTCGTTTTCCAGAAATTCAAGTCGTTGATCAATTCGAGGACCGGGTCAGTTTGCGACTTCCGACCAATTCACCCGAGATGTTCAAAATCACATTGGATGTTTTACTGGACGGTAAGTGGATTGTCAGACCAGCAAATACCGTCGCCATTGACACAACAAATTATTCCCGAAAAAATTTCTCACCGCCTGCGTGTCACATCTGATGACTACAAAACGTAATTTCGCATCTAGAGAAATCATTCTGTGATCGGATTTTAGTATGGTTAATGGTATCAATAACACAGGAAATGTGCTAAGTTCAGGGAAGATCATAATAACACCCATTAGCTCTTTTGGATTACGATAGTTTTAGGTCACGGAAACAATAACTGTTCTAATTTTTGGCTCTGGAAAAACAGCAGATCTCGGGTAAAACACGATTCACGAGTTCGTAATATTTTTTCACTGACTCTTATAACTTCTCTCCTTAGATTTCTGCGGTCTCAGTTGAAAGATTTACTGCTAATTTGAGTGGTTCCATAGATGTGGACGCATGACAAACTACACATTTTTGAAGAAGTTTTTGTGTCAAATGAGGATGTTCTCGCTGACAAATCAAAGTCATATCAGTGTACGCAATGCGAAAAATAATAAAGTTTACTTGTGATAAGTTGTATACATTCTCATCAGTGAAATTTTCCTCGGTTGATTGCCGCTTTTTTGAAAGCCTACTCGCAAAAAATGAAGGGTTATAGCAGGCCAAATTTCCACATTTCAAATTAACAGGTCTCCCTAAATATTATAGACAGTGAAAGCGATATTGTGTAAATCCTGATTTCAAAATAAAGACAAGTCTAACTGAATAGCTTTAGGGTTGTTCATAGTTTGACCTTGCCGCGATTTAGTTATCCCTGTGTAGACGGGAATTTACCCACCATATATTCCTCTTAGCTTGGCCACGACAGTCTTATGCTATATGCTTTGTTTTTGCTTGCCATGGAAATTCTCCTCCGTCAGTCTCTATACTCTGGGCAATGGTGAACAAACTCATTTGGTTTAAAAGTGTTTATTTTATACATTTTAATGTTTTGTGCAATAAATTTATAGTGTGAAACTATTCATCTGGTCATTTTACCTTAATAGCTCACACAAACGGAGCGATCGAAGACTTTACGATCAGCAGTCCAACGTTGGAACAAGTTTATTTTGACTTGGCAAAGTCGCAGCTCCAAGTATGATGCCTTCTCTGAACTCACTGGACGAATCACAACGGTGCGCACAGATGCCATTCGACGTGCGAACTGTCATAGGCCCACAAAGTTATTTCTTGCTTCTTCGGTAATAAACCGAATGATCAGTGTGGCTTTTCGTTTTCTACGAATGTCATTCAAATAATATTCACTCAAATGTAGCTTCTGTCAAGGAATCATGAGATGGACTGAGCTTTGATGCCCGGTAGCAGTTTAAAAGCTTGTATATTTTCCGGCCCTTATACATTCATGCTCTCTTAATCTATTCTAAGCAGTTGGTAATACTCGATAGTCGTTCGAGTTCTTCGTTCATAGGGTAGATTTATGTCTAGTGCAGTGCAAAAAACTGCTGCAAAATCGGGCAGGCCTCACAGCAGATCTTGTCCTGGCAAGGACAACCCTAGCTGAGGTAGATGTATGTTGTTACCTAATCACTGGGTTGTTGGTTTTCGGATGAAATGTCGTTGCTTACATAAAAGCAAGCCAGGCTCTCGCCAACTGATACTACATGTGGTGCAGGCGTGACTTCCGTTAACCTATAACCTATAAACTGTGGCAGTTTGATCCGTCCCCGCATACGATTCAGAAAGACGATTGATTCGGATGGGAATACCGGAACACTATCAGCGTTTGAGCGTCATTGCCTTTGTCTTAGTGACCATAAATGACCGGAACACAATATCGACAATTCTGAGGTCAGATGTGAGGACTTGGGAATCAAAGGTTAGTCCCTAGAGAAAGCCGTTGATCTGAACAAGCCAAGATGTTTGGGACATGTTGTGCACATGTCCACTGAGAGACTTCTCCGGCGTACTTCTTTCTTCGAGGCAGGTAGTGGGTAATAGGTAGGTCGAAGTCGTCAGTTCGTTATATGGCGAAACGTTACGAAGACTTTCACTGATAAGCTTTGCCGTAAAGCGTGAGAGAAGCTTCTATGACGGGTTCCATAGGACCAGTCCATTTGTCACTGTTTGTTCGCTACTTATTATTTTGCTCCTTTTGATTTCTGAAGAGACAGTGGTGAGATATAGCAACCAAGACTAGAGCACAGAAGCATGAAGTTGACCGTTGGAACGTCTAAAGTGATCTGAAATTTCAGAGGACAAAATAGGTGTTATAGGATGAATCTAACATCCTAGAGGGATCAGAAAGTTCTTCCTGGCTGATCCTTGAAGGAAAAACTCGAGATAGACTAAAGAAGGCTCTCACGCCTGGATACTAGTTGATGGAACTACGAATCGTGCAGAGATTTTCAGCAGAACAAATCACTGCAGTCGTTCGGAGATCATGAAAATTTTTCACGACTGAATGCAAATACAGAAAAGGAAACTAAGCCTGAAATGGGATATTTTATGAAGTTAGAAGAAATGAGATGAGGAAAAGGGGCAAGCAATGAAAAAGAACAGATAAGAAAAACAGAAAATATATTCATCACATAAAGAGGAGCACATAGCAAAATGGAAAAAGCAAAAAGGCAGCACATAACACGAAGAAGAAGAAAGAGAAAAAGTATTCAGCGTACACGAAAAAAAGGAGAGAGAGAGAAAAAAGGAAAGAAAGAAAGAAAACCCCAAAAAATTAAAAAAAACAACTAAATAAATATGCAGACGTATATCTATATTTCTATCTATCTATAAATATATCTATCAAAATATCGACCTAACTATCGATCTATATATATATATATATATATATATATATATATATATATATATATATATATATATATATATATATATATATATATATATATATATATATATATATATACATATATATATATATATATATATCGATGGATATATATATATATATATATATATATATATATATATATATATATATATATATATATATATATATATATATATATATATATATCCATCGATATATCTATCTAAATATCTATAAGAATATCTATCAATCAATCAACCAATCTATCTATCTAATCTATCAATCTATCTCCGTATCTATCTATCTATGTGTGAGATACGTTCGTCTGATTCTTGAACTATTGTCAACTTTATTCGGTGTCTAGGCCGAGTTGGAGTGACGCGCTCTCCTCAGAAACCAAATCAAATTAGCTGGGGTTTATTAGCGGTACTGCACACAATAATCAATCAAAGCGGGTAAGTGTACAAACCTCAAACGTGGTGTCCTCAGGGGAATCACCGTTTACTAACGTTCCGTACAGTTCAGAAAGGATAATACGTACAATGGCCAATTGGCCGAGGCACAAGTCACCAAGGCGGTTAACGAAACGACCACAACAAACAATGACAAGGAAAGGAACGCGTATATAAGGGACACGAACGAACGGAAAGGCGAACAGGCGGAAATCGATCGATGGTTCTGACCAACCAGTGAGTAGGGCAGGGATTCGCTCAGGCACGCAAATACACGATTAGTCACGGGTCGACCAGGTCACAGTCTTGTGTGGGTGCGTGTGTGTATGCGTCAGTACATGTGCGTGATGAAACATGCCTGCCGGGTGCAGCCGATCAGAATTCGGTGCCCAATCGAGCAGTCGAGTCCAGGTCTAGTCAATCGACCGAGTGGTGCTTCAGCGTGTGTGTATGTGTGCGACAGGACGAGCAACACTTGAGAGAGATGAGGAATCATGTGGACTGATAGCCGTGCAATCCGGTGGTCAACGTCAAATGAATTAGAAATAGGTCGAACGGGTTCAAACGTAGCACAGGCTGGTGTTCATGAATGAGCAGGATTGGAACAGGCAAAGCAGATTCAACACCGCCACCCCAAAGCCGCCACGGCTTTACTAACGTCTCACTCGCTACTGTGCACACTCCAGATGGCTCCATGCAAAAATGGTACAATTTACTCTTGCCACAATCACAGGAACCGAACTGAAGCACGCCCTACTCACGAGTGGGTACCTCACTAGTCGTCGGACCCTTCTAGTAAGCACAGTCGGCGGATGTCTCTCAGAACTTGTCCCTTTGAGGTTTTCACTAGGGCCTCGCGAACTCGCCCGTCTGATCCACTTTTGATACCGGTTACAACTCCTTTCGGCCACTTTCCACGAGGTTGGTTCTCTCCCAGTGTCAGCACTAAGTCTCCTGTTCTCAGATTTCGCCGCGGTTTTCTCCACTTATTCCGAGTGTTCAGCAAAGGTAAGTATTCCGAAAGCCATCTTCGCCAAAAGGTATCCGACAAGAGCTTTGCCTCCACTGGCGTGTGTACCGATCGCGCAGGTCAACTTCGGTTCCGATGGTATCGTCTTGTTTTCTCATCAATAACAAACAGCTAGGCGAAAGAACTCCAGATGCTTCTGGGTCGTCATATACAGGTACTAGAGGACGACTGTTTAGAACGCGTTCCGCTTCCGTTAAATAGGTCATGAGTGATTCCTCTGTTAGAGTTTGCTCTCGTGATACGGCGCTGAGAATCCGTCTGACGGAACGTATCATACGCTCCCACACACCACCCCGGTGACTCGCATAAGGTGGATTAACGCACCACTCAATTCCCTTAGATAGCATTTCATTTTCAACTTTGCTGTGTCCCAACCCTGTTAGAAATTGCTGCATTTCTATTTCTGCTCCGACGAATGTCTAGCCTCGATCGCTGTACACTTGCTTGGGGCATCCCCGTCTCCCCACAAATCGCGAGAAGGTCATGAGGAAAAAGTCGATGGTGAGAGAATGAGCTACTTCAATGTGTACTGCTCTGGTTTTGAAACATGGAAAGATACAGCCGTAACGTTTTCTAGTCACACGACCTCCTCGAACGTAGAACGGTCCGAAGTAGTCGATTCCGATTACCGCAAAGGGAAAGCCTAGGGTTACGCGTGAGGCCGGTAGATCTGACATGAATTGCTCTACAGGTTTAGCCGATCTTACCTTGCAGCCAATGCATTGCATAATTACTCTTCTTACGGTGGAAGCACCTCTTATGATCCAGTTTTTCTCCCGAGACGCCGCTAACACGTGCATCACTCCCATATGTCCTTCTTTCAAATGATAATGACGAACTATGATGATTGTAATTGGATGCTGACTGGGCAGAATTATAGGTCTCTGCCTAGCTTGGGATATATTACTGTTGATTAACCGTCCCCCAACTCGCAGCAGTCCGTTCTCCATTACCGGACATAGGTTCTTCAGAGAGGAACGTCTCGGCGCCCGCCTTTCAGCGGTCCTCTCCTGCCTCAATATACTGTCAATTATGTCGGGAAAAGTCTGGCGCTGTACGTAACGAAGCAGGGCCAACTCGACGAATTCCAATTCGGACACCCTTAGATTTCCTTTCAGCATCGTTTGCCCAGGTGCTCTATAAGTCTTTGCTCGAATATACTGCAGAAACCGTGTCATCCACGCACAAGCTCGTTTTACGGCCAGCCAGGACGAATAGTACGAAATTAGTCGGTCTAATGGATAGATTGTTGAGGACGTAGCCATGACCGCTGACTGCTTTCTGGTCTCGAGGTAAGGTAAATCTTCAACCGATAACTGATTACTCAAACAAGGCCGATTGATCTCCGCTTCCCGTAGGAAGTCCGGTCCTCGTAACCAGTTGCCCAGACTAGTGCTATCACCGCCACTGACTCATCGGGATGCCATGTCCGCAGGGTTCACGCTGGTAGGGACGTGCCTCCATTGGTCAACTATCGTGTGCTTGTGTACGAACCCTACGCGGTTGGCCACGAATGTCTTGAATCTGAGTTGAGTATTGCGAATGTAATCTAAGACGATCATTGAGTCCGTCCAGAGATAGACATTGTCTACATGTAAGTCTGCTTCACTCCGTATATGTTGCAGGAGATTCACCGAGAGCACCGCCGCTTGTAACTCTAGGCGGGGTATCGTAACAGGTTTCAGAGGTGCAACCCTTGATTTTCCCAATAGGAAGCAACAGTGGATGGAATTATCCGGAGATATATACCTCAGGTATGCTACCGCGCCATATCCCAACTCGGAAGCGTCAGAAAACAGATGTACGACGGCGGACTGCCGGCCTTGCGTGAC